CATCTTTTTCATTGAACATTTACTTTTCCAGAAAGATAAGATATGTCCAAGTCAGAGAGTAATTCTGAATGTCCTCCAAGAAAGCAGCCTCGCCTTGATTGTGAAATGGATGAGAGTCGGGGATCATGTGGGAGTGAAGACAGTCCAGGGAAGGAGGAGGTCATGAGGGCCTGGCCCACAGGTAAATCTTTTGTTTTTTTGTTTCTATTGTACTCCTTTTACCATATCCGGATCTGTAATACAACATTCATTCTAGCAGCTTTACTCATTGTGGTATTGATCTCCGGTTGACAGAGTGGAATTCAGATAAACATTTGATACTTCAAATAGCTAGAAGATATAGTTGTGTTGATCTCTCTCCAGGCTTGCTCCTACTAGTGATAAAATAAAAATGCTAGAGATGCAGCCATAGGAGAAACTAGTTTGTAGTCACAGATTTCAGTAGTATGTCAAATAGAAAGGTAATGGGACTGGAAGACTCAAGAATTTACCTCAAGAATCCCATAAAACCAGTGATGGGATGATACCAACCATGGACTGGTTTTGGCTACCCTTCAGGTCCATTTCAAAGCCTGTGCCTCCAGTGTCTACCCTAGGGTTTTTCATCTGGACAGAATGAGGGGGGAGGATTGTTACAGGAGGTTTGCTGCAGCTATCTCGAATCAAAAACTTGATGGATCCTGTAGCTCTGTGGGACTTCAAGTGTGAAATACTTGAAGCAGCCCAGGAGTCCATTGGTGAATGCCCGTGATCAAGGCAGATGCTGGAGACCATAGATGTGTGTTGCGTTGCTTGGCTAAATGGTGATCTGGATTTGCAACATTCCTTGGTGCACAGATGTTGAAAAGGGATAAGGAATAGTATATCAGGAATCTTGCTGAGGAGGTTGAAGGCCATTTCTTAGTAAACATACCTTTTTCCTGCCTACCATACCCTGAGAAAGCTAAATTACTCACAAACAACTGCAGTCTGCTCAATGGATGGATGGGTCATATCAGATCATGTTGGGTTTGGGATGTTGGGCTGATTATTTTAAGCAGCTGTACCAGGGTGTTGCAATCCCTGTGCTGGATTGACTCATCAGCAAAGAACCTCCTATCCTGACTGAGGTTAGGGAAGCTATCTCTAAGCTAAAGGGTGGCAAATCAGTGGGCATATGCAGTATCCCTGTTTAACTACTAAAAGGTGGTGGGGAACCCATGGTGGGGAGCTTGCATGCTGTCCTGTTGCCATCTGGGAGTCTGATACTGATCCCCCTTACCTGCTGAGGGGTGTGGTCATCCCTGTCTTGAAGGAGAATGAGGATTGTTGGGACTGCAGCAACTACTGTGGCAAATTATGAATGGTAATGATAAAGAATAAAAGCATATGGAGATATATTAAAATGAATTTCCTGATAAATACTTTGGAACAGTGTTCTAGTGTCTCAGATACTCTGCAGCATTTTGAAACTTCTTTGTATTGTCATGACTAATACATTATAGTGCATTACCATTTTTCTTTACTTGTTTTAGAAATAGGTAAATATTGTATTTACCCGACAAATATGATAGGGACATGTGTGAATGTAAGTAGTTTTGCTGACTAGTAATCAAATTAAAAGTGAATACTGGACATAGGGAATTTAATATTCATATATATTTTCTTGTCTCTCTTTCCACAGCAAGTTTAACAAGAGCATCTGGTGGCAATGATGTTTTAGCAGATCCACGCTATGAGGGATTCCAACTGTTGGATGAAGTACATGATGGAGATGATGATGACAATGATGAACCAGGTGTTGTCAATTTGTTCACTTTAGATTACATGGTAGAATTCATAATTCACTTTTGTACAAGATTCTTGATTTTTAATTGACTTTCTGAGAAGACAAGTGCATCATCACCTGCTTGATGACAAATATAATTTATTTGTCATTTTTAATGTTATTGTTTTTTTTTTTTTTTTTAGTTTTGAAATCATCTAAGATTACATATTTAGGAAGATGAATGATATAAAGCAGTTTGATCCAAAATGAAAGAGGATATTTGCTCAGAATTTATTTATTTATCTTTATTCCAGATGGACAAGATTCAGAGGAGGATTACGAGTATGATTCAGAAGTACCTGAGGAGGAGATTGATGCCCTCCTGGAGGAAGGCTTGCCGGAAGAGATGAAAGGGCCGAGAAAGAGAAAAAGAGAAATGGCACTTGGAGAGAATGATGAGAGCCCTTATGATGAAAGAGAAAAAGTGGTATTGGTTGGTAAGTTCCGTACCAGGACAGGTGAATTCACTTGAGACTATTTTTCAACGAATTACTGAGTTATGAGTTATTGAATTGTTGTAGGGTACTTATATTGATTTCTAGATTTATTTATTTATTTATTTATTTATTTTTATTATTTTTATTTTCTTTAAGGGAGAGTGGACCGTGTTTGCTCCTGAAGTAACCAAAAGAACATGATTTTATTCTGCTGAGATATATTGCATTTTCTCTGTATTTGTATCGAATTAGTCTGTGACAGAACTGATAAACTTGATTTCAGTGATATATCCAGCTTTTCTCAAATATGTGTAAAGATAAGACATGCTCACTTACGGATATATACATTGCACCAACAGAGATAGTTAAATATAATGGTGGATATTGATATGTATATACACTTGGTTTTATCCAGACTTCTCAACAATGAATTAGCTGTATCATAACTTTGGATTATAGTGCCTCTCACTACAATCCTTTTCTAGTTTAATGAACTAATTAAGCTTTAGTCTTATGTTTCTTGTTCCTTGATGTGCTGTGTGGTGCAGCGGTAGCGATCTCGTCTAGCAATCTTGTTGACCTGCGTTTGAATCCCTCGCCACCAGTGGATGGTAACCCCGGCCATTCCTTGCACACAGGGGATAATTTAGAAGCAAAATAAGACAGACAGTATGTCACACCAAGAATATCCATTGTAACAAATGGAATCAAACTAAATTATAATGAATATAATTATTATTATTATTGTTAAGACTAGGTATAGTCTGATTTGTTTTTATTAAAGCTTATGTTATGGTAACCATTTAAAGTATTTTTTTTGAAATATAATGTATCACAAGTTAATATACTCTGTCGTTCAGTCCACTTTGACACTGTATTACTTATATATGCTATTCACTACAAGACTTTACTAAGATAATCTGTGCCATGTAATAGCATGCTGTATCTCACATAAAACATGAGTGTCTGACTGTTGATATTGGGTAAAAGGTAGTATCAGAGTTTGAATTTTTTCCTTTTATTTTTCAGAAAAAGGAAATAGTCACTTTGAAGTACTGCCAGAAGGATGGGTTCAGGTGACACACAACAGCGGAATGCCTGTTTATCTTCATAAGCAGACAAGAGTTTGCACAATGGCAAAACCTTATTTTTTAGGACAAGGTAGTGTTAGGGTAAGCACAAGCGTCTCTTGGTCTCTCATTGCCTTAGGAAGGTGTATGCATTACAGAATATAAGTGGAATAGAAATTAACAAATATTAATAAAAAGATATAGGAGAAAGGATTTTATTATTATCTATTTGTGTTTGCAAGACCTTTGTGTATTTTTTTTTTCCAAATGTTTGTTTGCATCTCAAAATGAAAACATGAACATTTGAATCTTCTAAGTAGTATCCAGGTTTTTTGTAATGCATTGATATAATTACATTTTTCTTGACTCTAATAACAACATGAAATGATTGTCACTTTGGTGGGATTATGTTTATTCCACCTTTTGTTGCTGGACAGACTAGTTTTTTTTTCTCTTGTAGTTATATAAGAAATGGGATATTAAGCTGACTTCTGTATTGTGGCCACTCATTGTCCTTTTTAAAATTTTTTTGATGGGAATAATATTACTTGGGGAAGCTTGGTATTTTGGGGGTAAATGTTTTTGTCCTGAAATTGTGAAAGTTTGTAAACATTAAAAAAAAGGAAATCCATGGTCAGCCTGTCATATGTATTTACAGTATAGTAGATATAATGGAATACCATAATTCACTTTAGTTTTTAAAAATGTTTATTTGTTTATGTTTTCAGAAACATGACATACCCCTCAGCGCTATACCTTGTCTCCAATACCTGAGAGCTCTAGCAGATGAGAAAACAAGCAGTCAAGAAAGCAAGGAAACTAGTGAGAAGGAAACCTCGGAAGGGGAAGAGAGTCAGCAAAGTAGGCCTGGAGTCGGCATGAATGCAAGTCAGGTAAGACAACATTTGACCTTGTAAGACTAAATCTAGAAGGGATTTGTTCTGTTAAATTTGTTAATTTGCTCACTGATAAAACCAAGTTGATGATTTTGTAGTTAATACCAATTTATCATCTTCATATGTTGTAATTTGTATTAAAAAAAATAAATAAATAAAACAACAGGTGGAGGATCAGCTGGGAGTCGTTGAGAATGGGATAGACACTGTGAAAGCGACATCAGTTAGCAGGGCCACATCATGTCCTGTGACTGGGGGGAGTTTGGCAGCTGCTTTAGCTCTCAATACGAACAAGGAAGGTACGCATCATTTCATTTTTTCACACTGGAAGGACCTGTAAGCTTACTGCACCCATGCCCACTTTCTTATTAGAGAAAGGAATTTTTATGGACTATTGATGGGTTGGGTTTACAAAAGACATGACAGTGCATTTATTTATCCTTATTTATGCAATGTTGCTTTGAAGTTACTTGTTTGTTTGATGGTATAGTTAATGAAGATGTCTATTTTTTTCTTATTATCCTTAGTCTCAGTCTTGATACCATAATCATAATTATTATTACTTTCATTTATCAAATATTACCAGTGGTACAAAGTTGCACTAATGAAGTTTGCAAGATATGGGTATGTGCTTTTCATTTTGCAAATGTTTAGTTAAGTGTACTTTTCATTTTTATTACTAGGTGTCGTCATTTGTTATGATTTGTAAATAACATCATGACAGTTATTAATATTCTTCTTGTCTTTTTTTCTCTTTCTAAATTAGTTTGGTGATATTTCGATAAAGTATTGTCAGTAATTTTGAAATGACACTTTTCTAATGGAATATCTCATTGGCTTATTTGTTTATGCTATCCCCTGTGTTGATAGGAGGTGCCCCGCCTGCTGGGTTGATGGTAGGCAATGCCAAGATAGAGACAGCAGTGGAGAATCTGCAGCAGCAGTCTTTGGACGAACTTGAAGTCAGGGAATACTGCAAGAACCGATTTCTTTTTAAGAGCATTAAGATTATTAGGTTCAAGTGAGTGCTTAGAATTATTTTTCTTTTGTAAATTTAGAAGCAAAAATTAGTTTAAGGTATAAATTAATTTTTGGTGCTGGATTGATATTGTAGGCAACATATCTGTTGAAGAAATGTCATATTATTTCCTTCTTTTTTTTTTCTTTTTTTTTTTTAATGAAGTAAGCAGCAACATCTTTTATTTGCCTTGTATATTTGTGTAAATGTGTTCTGATAAAGATTTTAAATTAAAGATCCTGGGCAGAAAGAAGAAGTTTCCAGAAGATGAGCAAGAAAAAAGATAGACCGCAACTCCCGGAAGGAACCAAACTCATATCCCTTAGGAGGCAAGGTGAGAGCCTATAGAGCACAGAAGAGCCGTACAGTAGGTCCTTAGATGGCTGTGGCTACTTCTCTTACCAAAGATGGGTTTTGTTGGAAGCAAAATGTCGTGAAGTTGTTCATGTGTTGTGCCGTTGTTTTGAGTGGAGAAGAGGGTTAAGGGGAATGAATACTTGTTGATGAATGCAGGTAGTTATAATTTTTTTTTTTTTTTTTCATTTAGTCCATGTGCAGCTATATTTTCTTGTCATGGAGTTTATTTTGAATATGATTAAATGCATTACCTGACATCCCATTCTCTTGATTGTAATGCTCATTGTAAGTCCATCATGAAGACGACTTGCTGCTAATGGGAACATTATAATACAGGAAAATCGTTGTCATTGGAAGTGAAACAGTAATATGATGAAATGTAATGCACGGCAATATAAAGCTACTGGTGTATGTTACATGAAAAGTAAATAACGACTAAATACCTTCAGTATGTCTCTGAAGTTGAAATGTTAGCAGTGCAAAATAATCTGCATTATTTACATTATAGTCATATACATAGTAATACTTAATACTGGGAATAATCTTATGGACATGACATGTCAAAATGATGATAGTGGCAGCTACATTGCATTTTAAAATGCGATTGTATCACCTACATATGTTCATGAAATTTAGAAGTGAAAATGAATTGGTCTCTTTTCATGCAATATTCTTTCTTTTAACAGAGGAGGATGGTGTACCAGCAGCCAGTAGTAAAAAGGAGTGGATTATGAATCCCAAAGGAAAGAGCTATGTGTGCATTTTACATGAGTATGTGCAACATGCTCTTAAAAAACAGCCAAAGTATGTCTTCAAAGAAGTCGGTGAGTGGAAATCAGTTTTCTTCTTTGGCCATGACTGCAGTGATTGAGGTGTCCTGCAAAAGTAGGCTTTTAAAGTCACTTTTTAGACTCGTTTTCTGGGAAATTGTATATGCTACAACCCAAAATTGTAGCATGTGAGAAAATGATAAGTTTCTGGTGCTTATAAGTTGGCTGACTGTATACAATGCCTGGAGCTTGGTCTAGTATGATGTGGAGCAGCTGTTAGGATTAGGTTAACCCTACCAACTGTTTCAGAAATCACATTTTTTTCTTAATGTCTAGAATGGTCCTAATTTGCAAATTCTAAAAATATGTGTTTAAGTTTGCCAATTCCTCTAATGCTGACTCTTCTTGCTAAATAGACAATAATGAAGAGTGCAATATTTGCAGATGAATTCACATTTGAAGGATATGTAAAAGCACTGTTGAATCTCCCTATTGCATTTCTAATTACCA